TATTTTTTTTCTTTGCCTCTGTCAGAAATTATTTGTGCATTTGTAGATCTTTCTTTTCCTTACACTTCAAATTTATATGGATAAGCATCCATTTTTTTGTTAATGCATAAAGAGTTAATAGCAGCCCCCCACTCTATGGGGCGACAGACGCTCTCTTTTATGGCTCCAAACCCAAACATCAATTAGTTGGTGGTGACATGTTGATGGCAGGGCGGTGCTGTGGTGAGCGCAAGAGAGATCACGCGAGATAGGACTCTGTCACCTGGCTGGCGCTTGCTGCGCTGCCGCTGCCATGCGCCCGGATGGGCCCCGGGCCCCGACACGCCATGGCGCCAGGGTGCGCGCGCACCGGGCCTGCCCGCCCGCTGCCCGCCTGTCGTGTTACCCCGCCGCCCCCGCTGCCCCCGTCCCCTTGCTGGCGCGCCCGAACAGATTGCTGATGAATATTAATATTTGCCGCCGTAAGACTAAAGCTGCTTGCGGTTTTGCGCTGGGCCCCCCAGGCCTCGGGGGGCCCGTCGCGTCGTCGCCCGAACAGTTGTCTGTCACGCTACCTGTCTCACGCACCACTTCCGCTGGGAAAGACCCCATATAGGCGGATTTTGTTTTTATTTTTCCCCGCTCACCAATCTGTCTCCCTAGAATTAGTCTCTCGTGGTATCCATGTCGTTCCTAGCCTCGCAGATGCCCAGAGCATCCTGTTGTGAGGGAAGTCCGGGGAAGTCCCACTACTCCCCGCCCCGCCCCCGCGTGTCACTCGGGTCAAGCCTTGTTTGTCGTGTCATGTGATCGATTGCGAATGACGGTTTTTGTTTTTTTTTCGCTGAGGGTAGTCTCTGTCGCCACACTGTATGTATGGTGACGCCAACGGTTCCATGCTCTGCGGTGGGTGTGTGGGGGAGGGGGGGGCATGCATGCATGCTTGCTGCTCTGCCTCGCATGCACAGGTCTGCAGGGCTGCGGGCGCTCTCGGCACGGCGCGGTGCCACCTCAGCGCCGCGAGTGGAAAAACCACCTTAGAGGGCGTTTTGTTGTATTTGTTTCCTCGAATGGACCGGCGAGAGACGCAGGCTTATATTATGTGTCCGGGTCGCTCTCCCGAGACCCTGGTGCGGATGCCGCTCGTGCGGGGGACATGCGTTTTGTTTCCGTTTTCTTCTCATTCCACCCGCGTAGAGGCCAATGCCAATGCTGAAAATGTCTCACGATAAAACCACAGGAAAAAAATTTCAGAAGGAAGTGGAGCAGTAGGCAAGATCCGGTTTTTGGCGGCACGTTTGATAAAACCTTCAATGTAGCCGACCATGAATAGCTAATAACAGCCTGAGAGAAGAGCAGTTGACGGACCGTTTCGCAGGGGGGAAGTGGGGAGGTTCCTTAAGGAAGAATTTTGGACCGTTGGTATTTCGTTAACCACTTTTCCTCGATTGATGGGGCATAGCTATGTAAAATCTTCCAATACCATGTGGTAAAAAGGCCACGTAATCAGGGTGCGAACCCGGTGGAGAAAATGTTGAGGAACGTGGCTGCACTACCAGTCTAATTCTCTGGGGACCAAACACCTGTCTGCACCAATGGGAAATGTTTCGCATTATGTTCGGACGGAGCGCTGCCAAACTGAAGGTCGTTGAGAGGTCTGTGGAAAAAAAATTGGGCGAAGTGTGTGGGAGAGGGGCGGTTGAGGAGGAGGGAGCTGTTGTCGGTACATGAGCAGGAGCCCATACGTTCCTTCGCGGATAACTCTATACGTCTTCGTTCACGGACGCTGTTTTTGATGGCCTTCCGAATGGGTTTCCTCGTTTCATCCTCCGGTGGCGACTTTGTTCGGATCAACACTTCTTGTCTCGTCTCTGACGACTTCAAATCACATCCTCGCTGGAACTGAAGAAATAAGCTGCCATAGGAGGACAGCAAAATGAGTCAGTGTGATGGTTCTGAGGACAATGTTTCCTCCCGTCGTTTGACAAGGCATGTGTCTGTCGCTCGCCTGTTGGTGTTCGTCGGCTGATGCGTGGCGGAACGCGGAACGACTCGCTTGCTTTAATTAATTCGATTCTTTGCGGTAGTGCGTTTTGTTTCTATTTTTATTATTTTTTTCTACACCCCACGCGACTTATTCCCCCTCGTGCGTCTCATCAACACGGGAAGGGGACCCCATTGTGAGCGCTTCTTTATCACCCGCGGCCCGAGCTTCACAATGGGATGGAGAGTGATGGAGCCGTGGTAGCGGCCGCAGGTGTCTGGCGCGCACGGCCAGCGGAAAGGGATCGGACCCGATCAGAACGGAACGGAACGGGGATAGAAAAATGGGTTTATCTCGACACGGGGACGGGGAGGGGGCAGGAACACCTGTCGTGCCTGCTGCTGCTGCTCGCGCGCTCAAACAAATTAGTAAGCCTTTATAATCAACCGTGCGATCGTCCATAAAGTGCGTCCATTTATCTCAGAATCGTTCAGCAAATTACAGAGAAGCTATACAGGGTGGGTGATCCGCGCCGTCCGCACGCATGAATCCGGTACAGTATAAGCAGAAAACAACCACGGCGCGGATCACCCACCCTGTAGGCGCCTGTGAGGCTCGGGTTAGGCCACCCTGCAGTACACGCATGCACTTGCAGGCGCGATGTTGCCTACCTACCAGGCGCCATGAGAGCTTGCACGACAAGCTGAACTTGGGGGGCTCGTAACCGCAAATGACGGTCGTGCTTTCTACGATTATGGCGCCCGCGCCACTCACCGTCCCACATTTTGTACAAACTCTGTTCCTCAAATGTCCATCCTGTCCCGTCCG